GCTTCTCTATTGGCTCAGATCTTAAAGAATCCACCTGCAATACCGGAGACCTGTGTTTGATCTCTGAGTCAGGAAGATCCCCTAGAGAAGAGAATGGCTACCATGTCCAGCATTCTTGCCTGGAGAATTCCATGGACAGAGGAGGCTGGCAGGCTGCAGTGAGTGGGGTTTTCAAGAGTCGGACATGGCTGAGCAACTAAGCGCACACACACACATGACAAAACACAGAACTAAATGTCTAGTTATGTGATTGATTCTATTTTTCTTGCCATAAGAAAAAAATTTAAGAATAATAGTGCATTGGAGTTTTTTTTAAAATTCTATAAGTGCATTTACATCGTGCTTTCAGAGCCATCATCTTATTTTCCTTAAAATAACTTACAATTGAAAATATTAAATTCAAAGAAGTTTAACCACTTAACTAAAGTCCCACAGCTAATATGTATGTGTCTGAAAGTAAAACCCCAATTTTCCTATTTCAAGTATAAGACTCTTGATTTCTCATTACACTAATAGTGTGGTAATCACCAGGATGTAAATTCTTTGATGCCCAACTTTATATTGAAATGAAAATTGTGACCATATTGTAAAGGTTGCACTTAGAATGACTGCCCAAGTTAGCTCAGTGTTCTTAAGGCTTCCCCCCCGCCCCCATTTCTAGGAGATTGGCTCTGCCCCCACAGAAGTGCCTGCCTGAAGCTTTGCCATTTTTTTTCCTCCTGAAATGTTCCCCTGCCCCACCACTGCCCAGATATTATCACTGCCTGAAATATTATCACATTTCTGAATTTTGACTCTGAATCACCTCTTTATAATTTTAAATGGGATACTCCACTTGACTTGTTACATCTGATTATGACCTGGAGTACTCTGTCTGGGATCTCCATTTGCCAACTCAGAATTTTAAGGCTCAATCTGTGCCGCAGGCTTAATTATTGGCTCATGCCCCAGTATTTTAGTCCCTGCCCAATTTTCTGGACTTTTGCTTTTCTGGGAGCTGACTTTAAACAGTTTTGAAACTAAATGGAAAACTAAATGGAAACTCACTATTTATTAAATAAAAGTATGTATGAAATACAACTTAGTAACTATGCCAGGTGGGCATGGGTTTAATGATGGCTTGTCTCCAATCCACATCTTGGTACCTAAAGCAGTCTTGGCAAAATAGGAACGAAGCATTGTGTGGCACTGGAAAAAGTACTGAACTGGTAGCCAGAGTCCAGGTTCTAGCCCAGGGTCTGGATCTGCCGCTAATATCCTACAACTCATAAAACAATTATTTCACTACCATGGGCTTCCATTATTTTGTTAAATAAAGGCAGAAAATTGAACTATCACTAAGCAGCTTTCTATATATCTCCAAATTTTCATATTTCTGTGAATTAAATAGGTATTACATGTATGATAAGATGTATTTACACACAATTCCTTGCCCCCTATATTTCTCCTAATTCCTGCTATAAGGTCTGAGATCTTATATGTAGAACTTATTCATTGAGTTTTGAAGAGTCCCTTAGCATCTAGGGTTCATTAATATTGAACAAAAGCTTTGGGATTATTTGGATTTGTTTTTTAAAAATAGAGCTAGTAAAATCGTAGTGAATTTTTAGCTTTTTCTAACTCTTTTTAACCTAGTACTAGAAGGAAGCCAGGAGTTTTAATTTATCTTATAAATTTATTTTGAATCACTTTGATTCCCATATTTGACAATTGTTAAGCTCTGTCCTAATAATACTCAGACAGTGTCATAAGAGAGCCCATTGTCCAGAGCACAGGACTATGATTCAGGATATTTTGCGTTGCCAGACAAGGAATATACTATAGTTTCATTTCCCCCCCGTCACTTTCTCTAGTCACTTCATTGCTCTGATTCTTTTTTTATTTTATTCTTTCTTTTTTAATTATTTATAATTCACCCACCCTAAAATGCATGTTTTTACACTATATTCTTCAATTCTTTCCCACAAAGTTGTGCAGTCTAATCCCAGGATGCATTTTGTCTCTCCCAGAAGGCTGTCATTTCCCATTTACCCATCTCCTCAGCTTTGGGCAGCCACTAATCCATGTTTTGTCTCTGTATTTGCCTGTTCTGTACATTTCATACACATTGGATCATACAACATGTGACCTATTGTGTCTGGCTTAATGTTTTTGAGATTCATCTGTATTGTCACATGAATCAGTCCCCTATCCTTCTTAAAGGCTAAATAATATTTCCTTTTAAGGATATATCACATTTTTATCCATTAATAGATGTTTGAATTGTTTCTACATTATGAATAATGCTCCTATGAATATTTGTGTACAAGTTCACATATGGACATATATCTTCATTTCTCACAGGTACATACCTAGAAGTAGAATCACTAGATCATGTGGTAACTGGATGTTTAACCTTGTGTGGAACTACCAAACTATTTCCCACAGCGGCTGCATTATTTACATTTTTACCAGCAAGGGATGAGGATTGTAGTTCTTCTAAATCCTCACCAATACTTTTCATTATGCACCTTTTTTGATATAGCCATCTTAGCAGATATGAAATGGCACCACATAGTCAATTGTTTCTCTGATTCTTAAGCCACTAAGTTTACTTAAAACTGAGAGTATTCTGTGACATCATATTTTTATTATCAATACAATAATTTTTGTTGAAATATTATTGTTATTTTAATAAAACCACCTTTCCATTTCCCTTCTCATATTTTTTAGTCTCACTTTTTGGGCCTATAATTTTTGAACCATTTAAAATGAACAGAGTCCCAAAGAACTAAACAGACATTTCTCCAAAGAAGACATACAGATGGCTAACAAACACATGAAAAGATGCTCAACATCACTCATTATCAGAGAAATGCAAATCAAAACCACAATGAGGTACCATTACACGCCAGTCAGGATGGCTGCTATCCAAAAGTCTACAAGCCATAAATGCTGGAGAGGGTGTGGAGAAAAGGGAACCCTCTTACACTATTGGTGAGAAGGCAAACTAGTACAGCCACTGTGGAGAACAGTGTGGATGTTTCTTAAAAAACTGTAAATAGAACTCCCATATGACCCAGCAATCCCATTTCTGGGCATACACACCAAGGAAACCAGATCTGAAAGAGACACGTGCACCCCAATGTTCATCGCAGCACTGTTTATAATAGCCAGGACATGGAAGCAACCTAGATGCCCATCAGCAGACGAATGGATAAGGTAGCTGTGGTACATATACACCATGGAATATTACTCAGCCATTAAAAAGAATACATTTGACTCAGTTCTAATGAGATGGATGAAACTGGAGCCCATTATACAGAGCGAAGTAAGCCAGAAAGATAAAGACCAATACAGTATACTAACGCATATATATGGAATTTAGAAAGATGGTAACGATAACCCTATATGCAAAACAGAAAAAGAGACACAGATGTACAGAACAGAATTTTGGACTCTGTGGGAGAAGGCAAGGGTGGGATGTTTCGAGAGAACAGCATTGAAACATGTATATTATCTAGGGTGAAACAGATCACCAGCCCAGGTGGGATGCATGAGACAAGTGCTCGGGCCTGGTGCACTGGGAAGACCCAGAGGGATTGGGTAGAGAGGGAGGTGGGAGGGGGGATCAGGATGGGGAATACATGTAAATCCGTGGCTGATTCATGTCAATGTATGACAAAAGCCACTACAATATTGTAAAGTAATTAGCCTCCAACTAATAAAAATAAATGGAAAAAAATAAAATAAAATGAACAGAGTCCTTTCAGTGGTTTCTTTATCACTAAAGACCTTCATCTGTCCACATAGATGCATCACTGTAGCTCTCTGCAGATAAATCTACAGGATTAGTCTGGAGGAATCATCTCCAAGGACATGGTTTTAACAGCTTTAGTCCTTCATATTCCTCAGTAACTTAACCCCATATGAAATTGCATTAAATCACTGCCATCTTTGATTGAAAGAGTTACAAGGAAGAGATTCCTCTAGTACTTAGTGAAGACAGCAGTGACTGTTGTGAATATGTTTGTCATGTAGAGTTCTTGTTTACTTGAAGGATTGTTTACTTGTTTACTACTGAAGAAGATGCAGTCACATTTGTTTTTCTTCTGTTTCTCTTTGAAGGGGAGAAATTTCTTCCTTCCATGAAATGCATTTTGTTCAGTTGGCTTGTTAGAATTTAATTTAATTGTATTGATTATAAAATCTCATTATAAGCCCCTGAACAAGGCTCAAGTAGAAAAGGTGAACTGGAGAGGCAGAAACGAGTTCTGGCATGGATGCAGTTATTTTGTTGTTGTTTAACTTTATATTAATCATGTAACCTTTTGATGGTCACTTATCAAGTGATAGAGATGAGGTACAGAACTACTAAGGTTCCTTTTTGAACTAAATTGCTCATTCTATGTTTCATTAGAGATCAAACAATGTAATAGTAATATTTTCCTGGGTATCTTTACCTGAAATCTTGATTAGTAAGTAAAAAAATATTTCAAAGAAATGAATCAGAAAGTTACTGACCTGAAGAAAACAGCTAGTATACTAGTGATTTTATGTTATAAGCTTTGGCTATTTAACAGATTTATGAATATATAGGGTTCTCCCTTGAAAACCATCTGCTCAAGCCTGCATGTATGTGGTTGTGTTATATTTTGATTTCCAGTGTTACATTTTACATGCTAAGGGCCACAAAAATGCATAATAACCATTCTCTTAAATTTATAAACATTGTACTGAGGTCTAATTTTAGACTCGAGCACAATATTGAATGATATTAGTTTAGCCCAAGGAATGATTCAAGCTTGAACAATTGTGTTCTGTGGAGTAAAAAAGTTGTTTAGAAAGGAAATCTTGTTTCTTGATTTTGTATGATAAATCTTTATAACTACATGCTAACAGAAATTACATGCAATTATTCTCATTTTTTCTGAACAGAGGGCCTATATTTCAGGCTTATTGCTGATGTATTATTAAAAGCTTTCTCTCTTTTGTATTTCTTCTTTTTTATCTTTCTGCAGGATGTTTTCACTCCAGAATGCAAATTTAAGGAATCTGTGTTTGAAAACTACTATGTGATCTATTCTTCCACACTGTACCGTCAGCAAGAATCAGGCCGAGCTTGGTTTTTGGGACTCAATAAGGAAGGTCAGATTATGAAGGGGAACAGAGTGAAGAAAACCAAGCCCTCATCACATTTTGTACCAAAACCTATTGAAGGTATGAGCTGAGCTTCTTTTCTTTAGACCCAGATCTGTGTGTTGATGCCAGTTCTGCTCTTTGTCCTTTCACTCAGGGGAGGTTGTTTTTAATGCAGCAGATTAGAACAAAGATTCAGAAAATACAATAGTACTACTTCCTATTAAAAAAAAAATCTATTACAAATACCTGGCACTTAAGAGAAAAACTGCTTGAATATAGAGGCTAGAATTTCCTGAAAGTAGAAAAATAGTAGCAGTGACCATTTGGAATATAATTTCTTTCTTTAATGAACTCAGTGATTTAATTTCTCAAGCTATACTCTTGAAAAACAATAATACTATTATTAGTGCTTTAAAGTTTTATCAAGGCTTTTAAAAATATGTTTGTATCCTAATTGCTACATTATCATGAGCAAATTTTACAATCTGATATATTCATTTTTCTTTGTATTTTTTAAAGAAAGAAAATATTCTGTTTACTGTGATATTATAGTTTTTACATTCTGTCTTTCCCCACTGAACCTATGCCTTCTCCTCCCTTGATCATTTAATATGGTGCTCATCTATTTCAGGTGACGAGTGGACTAAGTAATTTAATGCTGAGGAAACCCCCATTTTTGGCAACTTGTTCCCTAAGTAGGATAAACACATACCACAGGAGTAACCACACATGTACTATATTCAGTCAAGCTTTTTAATACAAGCTAAAAAAGCAGTAGTGGTCTAGACATTTACCAATACGCACTCTTCTCTAGAAGTCACATTATAATCACTTAAAACATTAGTTCATCTTGTCTGAAGAAATGAGAAAATTGAGACACTGCATTGCTATTCTGTGATTTAGCCAGGCTTGCTGTCCCATATCTAGAAGGGACAGTGTAGGGACACAGTGCCTGCTATAGATCCCAAAGGACTATAACCATTAGCAAACATTTGGTAAATCAGTACCATGTTCAAAGCTCTGGGGGGAAATGTGACATTCAAAGCTTCTAGTCCCTCTCAAACCTCCCCTCACACACTGTGCTTTTAACCACACAAAACAGAACTTTCTTCTGTTCTACATTTTTTTTTATGTTTGTAATATGTTTTTACTATTTGGGGCCTTATGTAGGTATTTTGCCCTTCTGTCTCACAAAATTCTATTCATGTGCCTGGGAAATGCCTGTCAGACCTTGTAAAACATTAATTCAAGGAGTCAGTGCTTCTATGAGGGTCTCCCTGACTTCCTTCAAGTAGAATTAAACACTCTGTTACCTTATTATTGTATCTTGTTCTCTCTGCTAGAAATTATCACATTGATTTAAATCTGTCTCTGTCTCTTATCCATGATTAGATTACTTTGTTTACATTTTATTTCTTTTTCTTTATTAGAGTATAATTGCTTTGCAATGTTGTATTAGTTTCTGCTGTACAAGGAAGTGAATCAGTTCCCTCTTGCAGCTCCCTTCTATACCCACCCCCCATCTCACCCTTCCGGGTCATCACAGAACATGGAGTTGAGCTCCCTTCTCTATATAGCAGCTTCCTGCTAGCTCTCTATCTTACACATGGTAGTGTATATATGTCAATCCTAATCTCCCAATTTATCCCTTCTCCTTCTCCTCCTGTGTCCACATGTCCATTCTCTATATCTGCATCTCTATTCCTGAAAATGGGTTCATCTGAACCATTGTTCTAGATTCCACGAATATACGTTAATATGCAATATTTGTTTTTCTCTTTCTGACTTCACTCTGTATGACAGACTCTAGATCCATCTACATCTCTACAAATGACCCAGTTTTGTTCCTTTTTATGGATGAGTCATTCCATTGTATATATGTACCACATCTTTATCCATTCATCTATTGTTGGGCCTTTATATTGTTTCCATGTTTTGACTATTGTAAATAGTGACATAGTGAACAATGGGGTACATGCATCATTTTGAATTGTGATTTTCCTAGGGTATATGCCCAGTAGTGGGATTGCTGGGTCATATGGCTTGCTCCTGGGAAGAAAAGCTGCGACAAATCTAGACAGCATAGTAAAAAAACAGAGACATCACTTTGCTGACAAAGGTCCATATGGTGAAAGTTATGTTTTTTCCAGTAGTCATGTATGGATATGAGAGTTGGATCATAAAGAAGGCTAAGCATGAAAGAACTGATGCTTTCGAGCTGTGGTGTTGGAGAAGTCTCTTGAGAGTCCCTTGGAGATCAAACCAGCCAATCCCAAAGGAATCAATCCTGCATATTCATTGGAAGGACTGATGCGAAAGCTGAAGCTCCTGTCCTTTGGCCACCTGATGGGAAGAGCTGGTTCACTGGAAAAGACCCTGGCGCTGGGAAAGATTGAAGGCAAAAGCAGAAGGGTGCAGCAGAGCATGAGGTGGTTGAATAGAATCACTGAATCTGAGCAAAGTCCAGGAGGTGGTAAGGACAGGGAAGCCTAAGGCACCACAGTCTATGGGGTTGCAGAGTCGGACATGGCTTAGTGACCGAACAGCAACAATAATGGCGGTTCTGTTTTTAGTTTTTTAAGGAACCTCCATACTGTTTTCCACAATTGCTGTACAGATCTTTTATTTTTCTCATATCTCCTTGTATCTTGTATAATATCTGACATATGGTAGAGAGATAGTCAATAATTACTATCAATTGAATAAGTGAACAAGTGAATGAACAGATGAATGCATAGGTAAATACAAAGACAAGGAAGAACTATATGCTCCAGAAAACTTTTTCATGTTTTTGGAGATACTAAGTATGTTTACTAATGACAGTAATTTAATATAAAAAGTGATGTATTACATGTTGCCAGAAATGACACTGAGGTTTATAGAAAGAGCCAGAACTTCCACCAAAGGGAAGATATTGGAAAGTTGTTATTTAAACACATCTTCAAGGCTAGGACAGGTTCAGAACATTTGAGATAGGAGGTAGGGATTAGGCAGACAAAACCACTCCAGGTGCAGTATGAGTAAACTATTAAAACTATTGAACCATTTTTATTTGTACATTTAAGTTGATTTTTTGTTGTAATAAAAGTAGTACATGCTCATTAACAATTTTGGAAAATTCATGAAAGCATAAAAGTAAAAAAGTCCATGTGTTTTATTTATTCCTTTTATAGTTAATGCATTTCATACCCCGCCCCCCAAAAAATGAAATACCTGTAACCAACCCTCCTAATCCTGACTTCTATCTGCACTGTAGCTAGAGAAGCCTTTTCTTGGGTATGAATGACCATGTACAAATTTCTAACAGCAATGTATACTATTACCATGTTCTGAGTTTGAGAGCTGCCTTAATTCTTCATATTTGCTGCATTTTGAGTACAAATGTGGAAAAGAGAAACAAACATTCCTTGTTGTAAATGTTAGAATTAGATTCAGTTGTGTACAACACAAAACCCATGTTCACAGCAGCTTAATTAAACAAAGTGTTATTGTCTCACTAGCCAAATATACAAACCTGCTGTCCAGGACTGGATCTATGGCTCTGCAATTGTTAGGGACCAGCCCCTTTCCCTTCGCAGCTTCACCTTCCATCCTGTGTTTAGAGGATAGGCAGCATTAATAAGGGGTTGCAAAGGCATCTATTCAGACAGATGGATGGACTTGATATTGAAACCCATTACCATGTATATTGCACATCAACCTGTACTTACTCTCCCCTGGAATTTTAGACAACAGCGCAGGCTTCACCATTCCTAGTTTTGCCCTTTCAAAGCATTGTTCACACCACAGATAAGTAGCTTCCTCAGATTTAAATTGTCTTGATGGTGACTTCCCCCTTTAGCTTCAAATGTAGAAGCCAAATACTCTCTGACAAAGAACTAGAGACAGTCTCCTCCTTTTCTCCTCCCTCTTCCTTCATTGCTCAGTTCCTGCAGCTGGTTGGATATTCAGAATAGAATTTCTTCCTCCTGAAAAGAATGTGAGTGCTTTCCAAGAGTTAAGGTTCAAGTGAGGTTGAGTGAGAAATATATTCCTAAAGTGAAATTAGTAAGTATCAGTTAAAAGCCACTGCTACAGAAATACTAAATTTGAACTAAAAGAACATTTACCAGTTTCTACTAATTTATTTTCTAGTGGGGAGATAAGACTAATACAACATTCACATACCTTTACTTACACACCTTTAGGACAGTTACAGTTATCCATTCTGCCTGTTAGAACTGTTGCTTTAAACTAAATCTGAATAAAGTTCCAGCAGTATAATGTAGATCATAGTTTCCCAGGCATCAGTATCAGAACCACCTGGAGTGGTTTTAGAAGCTACCAATTCTTAGATCAAATCTCCCAAGTATTCAGATTTTATTGTCTAAGTAATTTTGATGGCAACTAGGTTTGAAATTTGGTATTCTAAACTGACCTTGGTGTTGCTACGTTTGTTTTGATCCTATCTGGTCATAGGAAATTATTTAAATATATTCAAATTATTATGATCTATATATTTTAAAAGTCTATTCTAATATGGCATCTGGTCCCATCACTTCATGGCAAATGGGAGAGAAAGTGGAGGCAGTGACAGATTTTATTTTCTTAGGCACCAAAATAACTGCAGATAGTGACTGCAGCCATGAAGTTAAAAGATGTTTGCTCCTTGAAAGAATGGCTATGACAAACCTAGACAGCTTATTAAAAAGCAGAGACATCACTTTGCCAACAAAAGTCTGTATAGTCAAAGCTATGGTTTTTCCAGTAGTCATGTATAGATGTGAGAGTTTGACTGTAAAGAAGGCTGAGCACCAAATAATTGATGTTTTCAAATTGTAGTGCTAGAGAAGACTCTTGAGAGTCCTTTGGACTGCAAGGAGATCAAACCAGTAAATCTTAAGGGAAATCAACCCTGAATATTCATAGGAAGGACTGATGCTGAAGCTGAAGCTCCAACACTTTGGGTACCTGATGTGAAGAGCCAACTCACTGGAAAAGACCCTGATGCTGGGAAAGATTGAAGGAAAAAGGAGAAGGGGGTGGCAGAGGATGAGGCGGTTGGATGGCATCACCAACTCAATTTGAGCAAATTCTTG